CTTCTTCTCTTTCCTTTCACCTTTCCCAGCATTAGAGCCTTTTCCAGAGAATGAGGTCTTCTCATAACGTGTTCAAAATATGATAATTTGAGCCTGGTCATTTGTGCCTCAAATGAGAACTCTGGGTTGATTTGTTTGATGAATATATGCTCTATATCCAAATTCTCTCTGTCCTTCCATCTAGCCTTGAAGTAAAGAAGACTAGATTCCAGGCTTACAAAACTGTATTTATTTATTTACAAAATTCATCCACCAAGAGCCAAGATTCTCAGGAGGTTTATAGAAAAAAGGTGGGAACCATAAAATGCAATCACATACAAGTATGATACCTAAAACAGCACTAAAATCAGCTATAGTGTAAACTGATAAAAGGAGATAATATTTATGCAAAAAAAATTTAAAAGAAGGATTTCAGTTGCAAAAAGTATGGAAATTAAAAAAAAAACATTTCCTGCTCTTAAAGACCATTACACCTTTATTTTATTCAGATCCCTGATCATTCAATCATAATGCCACCATCTGCAAATCTCAAGAAAAAGTTGTATTTACCAGTTATGGTATGCAAGAGTACAGTATTCTTAGAATGCTACCAAAAAAAGGAGTGATTCAACACCTATTCTTTTTGGGGTGGGGAAGGGAGAGACACCAGCTTGGAAGATTTCCAAACATGGATTAGCATCCACCTGAAACTTCCTGAGTCACAGACAAAAAACAGGATGCCAGTGTGTGTAAGCACTGCATCACAAGACAGCAGATTAGAGTAATTCCATGAATGAAAAATATTAATTTGTTATCCACAAAGATCTCAAGGATCCATGTGTAAAAAGCTGCATCAGTGTGATGTTGGAAAGATGAACCTATTAAAAGGTTTTTCTCCCTGCAGAACCTTAGGAATAAATGGATAACCCCCAACCATTTTTCCTCAAAAGACAGCAACTCTTTCTTACAATGTCAACACAGAATTATAATAGGCAATTGCTCCAAATCTTTCCTAAGATATAACTTAGTGAGGTTGGCCCAAATACATTAATTACCCTTTCATATCAGATAGATTGAGACAGATTATATATGAACCGCAACTGAGTTGAAGAGTCAAGCCTGCTGAGTCAGCAGCCAAAAGTAGGGATTTTCAGCGGATTCAGGATTGACAAAAGTTCTTACGTTCATGCAGGAGTTGATGGTGGAATTCCATGCCCCTAGATTTGGTGATAGCAACTAGCTTATTGAGGCATTTGGAAAAGAGCTACATTATATAGAGAAGTGCTTTTCTAACCTCCAGATGTGCTAAGTTTTGCCACGCTCACAGGGAAGGGTGGGAGCACCACGTTGGGGAAGATCTAAGCTTTCGGAGAAGGGGCCTTTGGAGGAGGAGAGCGGTGTTAGCCTACGGCAGCAAAAAAACAGGAGTCTGGGCACCCCTTTCCCAACTCTCGAGTTTTATTAAAAGGCAGACGCTTTCGTCCGCTGTAGCTCACTTCATCAGCTGCGTAGGGGGATTCGACGGAAGAGCAGTTTTCCCATCCCTTCCCCCAACCCCAAATTTAAAATAAAGAGAAAAAAATGAACTCAGCCCGACAGAAGGGAAAGCGCTCCTGAGGAGGTGCAGAGTGTATTTCCTTAAAGGAAAAATGCCTGCAGGGCTTAGCGTGAATTCTCACGTCACCCCGTTTCAAGAGCCAGGTGAGGCTTTTTACTCACCCTTCCCAACAAAGGGTTAATCGCCATCCGGCCCCACCCCACCCCAGACGTGCGCCTCCGAGGATCAGAGCCGGCCGCGCTGTGCGGGACTTACTCCCGAGTAAGGAGACAGACTCCCGACCGGCGTGAAGCCTTGATCTCTGGCCGGCTGCACTTTGCTTCCCGCTTGCCCGCGACTAGATTGCATGAGAATTCAGTTCCCGGAGCAGGAGAGATCAACCCGGGTCGGGCGGATGAAAGGTGACGCGCCCGACAGGAGGCTCGGGAGGCGG